ACAAATGACTGGGATCTTCAATTCTCCAGCCCTTTACCAGCTGCCTGCCAACGACAGAGGTTCATGTACAGGGATGGTCCCCCCAAGAATCACAGGTTTTGTTACTATAGGTCTTGGGCTTGGGTCTCTAGAACCCCTGAGGGATCCCTGACCTGGGAAGCTAGGCTGGATCACACACAAATGGCAGCCAGGACTTTTGTCCAAGCCATGCAGGCCAACCGAAGCGGCCTGAATCAGCACGGGCTGACTGGCCTCCTTAGCCTTTGGTCCCCACTGCAACCCTGGCACTCAAGGTCTTATTGCTCAGAGGCAAGAAGAACACTGAGAGATGAAGCCAAGGAAATGCCAAGAGTGTTTTTTTGTGGGTAAAAGGCAGAACCAGCCTAAGCCACCCACCTACATCCGGGCCTTCTCAGGACACAGAATGGGGTCAGGTGGGAGCCACAGGCCACTACCTGTACCCTCTGGGGGAGAATTTTAAGAGGGAGAGGGGTCCAAAGTGAAATCCCCCAAAAGGCAGATTCCACAGAGTCATGGCTAGGCCCACATACCCCCAAGTTCACCCCTCTCCCCACCGCCAGCTCAGAAGGATCCTAGGTGCAGCTCCAGCCCCTAGCACAGCACCCCTCCAAGGCTAGACGTGCCACTAACACGAGGAATCAGGAGTCAGGAGAGAGGTACAACTCTTCCACACCTCACTGTGTGAGCCCAGATGCCTCTGTATACTCGACTGTAAAGTGGAGACAATGAGACCTGCCCAGCGCAGCTCAGAATTAAGGTTATCAGGTGCAGGTTTTTGTAAAGTGCTGTACAAATGCCAAAGATCGTTTTTATTGTTCGACAGAGTCTGAGTTCTCATTAAGTGACAACATTCCCTAAAGAGCCAGTGTAGGTTGGATTGGCACCTCATATCTCAGTAAATATGGACACACTCACATGTGTCTGTATTTTCTATGTCTCTGAGGGCTTTTGCCCACAATGACCACTGAAACGTTCAGTTATCTTCATCAGGGCCCAAGGAAGACTCTCTTCCTCTCGGATGTGCAGACATAACAACATCCTCCCCTCAAACTGGTTTCTATTGAGACACAGTGGTTTGTTCTCCAAGGGAATGTTACTCACTTGGTTAGAACTCCCATTGGGTATTTCCATGCACTGAAACCCAGCTTGGAAGACTCTCAAAAGGATGTGGCCTCCTGGTTTGTCTCAGCCTTTCCTGATGCTACTGAATCAGTCTGCTTCTCCCTCATCCGCTCACACAGAGGCTGCCGAACCACCCAGTGAGCTCGTGGGAAGAGCACGAGGTGCTGCCACCATCTTGTGGGGAGACAATTCTGGCAGTGGTCAATAAAGGGGCTCCAGTGCCCTCCAGTGTGGGTTCTGATTCTGGCCTTGACACTTTCTGTTAAGGTTGGGCTCTTTAAAACGTGGACAATATAGACGTTCCTCCCCCATCAGCTTATTAGGATTAAATGGCATCATCTGTGTTCAAATGCACTTGAGTCTCCTTGCTGAGTTGGTGCCTTTGGCTACTGACTTAGCTTCTTCATGTGTTTCGCTTTCCCTTTCTTATACTAACTATTTCAAATCAATAATAAACTAACAACAAGCAAGTGAATAAACACTTTCTGCTCACTGGGAAGTTAGTGTGTTACTTTACATTTTTTTTTCAACCTTCAAGACTTGCTCAAACATCTCCTCTCTTGGAAAGTGCTGTATAACTCCTCCAGGTCAGCTTACCTGCTCCAGGTGTGTGCTCATTTGCATAAGTATTCCTGCTACTGAATAGTAATTGTTTATGTTAGACTATTAACAACTTAAGATTTTTTTTTTAAAGAACACACGTCACAAGAGCCCTGCTGAATAGAAAATGGTCAATAAATGGCAACTGTATTATTATGCCCTGAATGATTACCCGCATTCATTGTGCTATAGAGGCATCTTGCTGTCTTCTAAAATTACAACTTTGGGAGAGTCCCTACGGATGGAGGGAGCACCTGGGAGTAGAGACACTTGTCAAGATGGATTTGCTCCTCTTTTGGCAGGAAGTAGGCTGAGATTCATCTTTTCTCATTGATTAGTCTCTGGACACAACTGGAAGATTCAATTAAAGCACTATAGTTTCTGAGTATTTCACTCCCTTGGGGGGAAAAAAAAATCCCACAGATGATCATGTGGCTAGTAGGTCACAGGACATCTGTCCCTTTTAGAACTTAAGTGTGTGAAGGGTAAAGTCTTCCCTCTGATGGCTGAAACCTGGGGACACTGACTTTTTGGTATTGCCAGTCCCTTCCGAGAGGCAATACTTTGTAAATACCTACTGCATGACTGGATGGATGGATCCTCCAGTCACATCTCTGCACCCGGTCTGAGGAGCTAGCGAAATTGACACTGGGCTGAGCTCTGGCCTTCAGTCGAGTAAAGGAAAGGATAAAGAAGGCTATTTAGACTCCTTCTGTTTCAGAGATGTTGCCTCTCACCCTCACAGGACAAGGCAGCAGTGTAGACAGGAATTGGGGGCTCTAGCTCAAGACCATCTACTGGCCCCTGCATGCCAGGTCCTTCACCTGCACCGTATCTAAACCTTACAGCCAGCCCCTGAGGTAGAACTCATGAGCCCCCTTTACAGATGAAGGAACCAAGGTCCGGACTAAAGAGTACCCGAGAGTCTACAGATTAGGATCTCCAGCTATCCGCTCTTCCTCTTGGAGAGGAGCCCAAGTTGGTGAAGAGATAAAGAATCATTCTCTTCCTCCTGGGGGAAGCGGGGCGGCGGGGGCGATGAATTGGGAGATTGGGATTGGCATATATACACTACTATGTATAAAATAGATAACCAATAACAAAAAGCAAACAAAAGAATCATTCTCTTCCTCCTTCACATCTCCAGAGAGATTTCAGGAGGGCTAGGCTCTGGCAGCAGCCTCGTGAGCTCCTGAGGGTCCCCTGAGAACCCCAGGAAGGTGGCAGAAAGAGGCAAGTTTGCAAAATTTGGAGAGTATGCATTAGACCAAAGCACGGCATAGAACTATTTACTGATGTGGTCACAAGCCCCTCTACCCCATCTCTCAATTCTCTCTCTCTTTCTCTGTCTGTCTGTCTGTCTCTCTCTCACACACACACAGTTAATTCGATGTTAGAAAGTCTGCACTAATAACAACAGATATATTCATTGAGGCCGAATCATTCATGAGAATCATCAACACCTTCCCAGGTACAGGACAAACTCAATTCCGCAACTGAACAGGCATGAGAATTCCAGCAGACTGGCTAGATCTTTCTTGAAAGTCCATTTAGCCTCTGCTGGGATTACCCAGCCCCACTTGGAAAAGGGTGGCCCAAGTGTAAGCTGCTACTGGCTCCCCGTTCAGAAAGCAAGTCCTTTCATGAGGCTCAGCTGTTCCTCAGGCATCCAGTAAAGCTGGTCATGCAAAGGCAGAGAATGTGACAACTGTTGGAAACCTTCAGCGGCCTCCGATGGGAGTAACTGAACCTTCTCCGGAGCAGCCACTTCATGGACAGTTAAAGCAGCCTATTATTCAGTTTATATAAAACACCCACCAGCTACATGGCACCAAGAACTGAATATCTCCATTCTTATCAAGTTCATGACATACTGGCCACACTGCTGGGCCACTAACTCTAGAAACCGTAAACAACCTCACTAACCATCAAAATACACATACTCAGAGGGAAAGGGAAAGAAAAAAAAAAAGCCTTCCTGAGTTCTGAGGACCAAGTTCAAAGATTGCCCAATAGGCAAAAAAGGCATAGCATTCAACAGTGCCAACAGTCTCTCTTGCTTCAGCTGTAAAGTCTCCAAGACATTTTAAGATTTGAAGACTTTGATAAAGAGGATCTCAGAGCCACAGAGACCACATCAAACGTTTCTTTAAAAAAGAAGAGCCTGTATGCATTTCCCAGTGAAGGATCCGTCCAAAGGGTTTTAAAAACACTTTAATATACTTTGCTTCCAAAACATTACACACCATTTCTCCAACAAATTTACATGTGTTTCCAGGGAACTCCTGGACCAAAAAGAAAAAAAAAAGTACTTAGGTAAAAGAATGTCTGGCGATTCTTTTATGCCAATATGTTAAGAGACCTCTTTTAATTGCTATTATTTCATATAGCAGCAGTAATCATTCCCTCATCTGAAAAGGAAATATATAATCCAGCTGTGGTGGCTCCAGTAAAAATACCACATCTGTGGATCATTGGCAGCACTGTGGCAGGATTGCTCAAATTTAGGCAGCTTTCGAGCTGTTTTATACCCAAGATGCACATGGGTACACTTTTCTGGGAGTGCACATAAACTTTGCCAAAACTGGTTGCTCCTTTGTATGCTGAAAATAGGTTTTCAGATGATCCACACCTAGAAGAAGGAGGCTCTCTTGGAATATTATTTCCAGGACCCAGTTGTTCTAAGACGTCCCCAGACCACCCGCCCCCCCCCACCCAGGGTGATGGCTTGCACCAGTGCCCTTGTCAATATCAAACAGAACAGGGAAAATGAACACTCCCGCTTTCAGGGAGGAGGTTCTACCGCGTGGCTGGCAGTGGAGCTGATTGCTGGTTTTCCACTTAGCACACCAACAGCCTCCGCAGAGTGGATGGCAGCCACCGTTCTGGTGACCGTTCCCGCCATTCTCCAGTGTCTTAAGTCAGAGTATTACTGAGCACTGGGTGGTAATATTCCAGGAATCGCCCCCCACCCCCACCCCTCATGCTCCTGTTTAGTCTTTCCCCAAAGCCCAGTAGCAAGCATCTTATTTCTAAGCCAATCTTCCACATTCAAATCCCCAGCCCAAAGCGCGCCCTGGGGCTTTCCATCTACAGACCATAAAGGAAAAAGCAGCGTAGCTGAGTCTCGACAGACTTTTATCCCCAAAACACATGTCCTGCGGCTACTGTGCTGGAATGTCGACGGCCCCGAAGCACTCGGGGTCCTCTTCCATCCCAGACAATAGAGCAAGAAAATAAAATGAAAGTGGACTTACTGCTATGGCTTGCAGCCTTTCCTTGTGCAATTCCGCCTCTGCCATCCTGGAGAAGGGCACACAGGGAGGGAAGGAAGAAAGAAAAACAAAACACACGCTGTAGTCACCCAAGGAAATTGATGGACACCCCGGGGGGACTTTGCTAGAAACCCAGGGAGAGCCGAGGGGCGTCCGGGGATCCGCTTCGGAGGTGGCGAGCAGAGCTGTGTGCGCGGCTGGCTCGCCCGGCTCAGCCTCTGGTCCCCGCCCGCCCGGCCGCCTGGCTGCGCCCCAGCGCCGCCGCTCCCTGCATCTCCCCGCCGCCGGCCGCGCCAGTCGGGGACGTGGGCCACTGGCAGCAGCCGGGAGGGCGCGCTCGCCCAGCGCTCGTCCTCCGCCCTGACGTCTCCGCGCCTCGCTCCGCCCCTGGGGTGTGGGGGACCCGCGGCCGCAGCCCCGGGCTGCTCTAAGCGGGCGGGAGACACCGGGGCTGCAGCCGCGGGGAGTGGGGAGGCCCCCAAGGCGCGGCCGGGCAGCGCGCGGGCGGGCTGGCACCCGGGGCGCACCGGGAGCCGCTAGGGCGCACGGTTGGTGCGCCCAGGTGGACACGTGCTCATTGGGGACGTGCAGACGCCAGCCCAGGGGCCTCTGGCAGAAAGCGGGGCCCCAGCACGTCCTGCCTGCCAAACGCTTCGACTCCACATGGGGACATTTCCAACTGCCTCACCCACATGCCTTAAATGGCAGGCTCCTCAGCTGTCAAGTTGGCCAAGGGCAGGGTGTAGCTCAACACAGGCCATCCCTCTGTGAGGCCAAATGTGGGTTAGAAAGACAACCGAGAGTTTGTAGTTATAGGTGCTCGGCTAGGCTGGGCTTGATCACTTATTAGCTGTGAAGCCTTGGACAAGTCACTTAACCACTCTGAACCTCAGTTTCCTCATCTAAAAAATGGAGCGTCTGTCCGTGCTGAATGAGATAAAGTATGCGTATAAAGGTGCTTTGTAAAGGGCAATCTGTTCTGAACATTATCCCGTGACATTCTGGGCTGAAACTCTGAGAATCTTTACTTCTGTACTCAGTCTCTGAAAGGAAAAGTAGGATCTGGTCACCAAAACACTTCACCTCTTCGTTACTAAAGCAGGCGGCAGCTCTAAAGTGCATCTTTTATGCCAGGACCTGGGCTGGAAATGAGAGGTAGATAAGATCCAGTCCAAAAGGAAACAAAAAGCTGAAAACAAAATACGTCTTCACCTCCAGGAGGGGGCTGCTAGAATTCCCAACATTCATAAGCAAGCTTTCCTCCATAAAATGAAATAAACATGGGGGAAAAAAACCAATGTGACCTCTTTAGATCCTTGATGACTCTATAAATGCAAAACTTAAGAAGGCATTTTGAAAGGTAGGCACATCAAATTTCTCCAAATCACCTCTTTCCTGGGCAAATTCTTGTAATTTCTACTAAATCACCTTCTCAACATTCAGAGAGGTTTCACCTGTCACTTGAAGAGCAATTACTACTCTGCCCAAAGACTGAAGCAGTCACCAAAACAGTTTCACTGATTGATTGTTTTCTCTTTCTTTTCATAACAGGCGTAGGTGGAGCTGTTTGTGTCGTAAATCCAAGGCAACACCAGATTTGACATCCCCCTCCAGTATATCCAGAACTTCTGCTTTCTGGCTAAGCCCCATCACTTTCTTCAAACGTTTCATTTTCTCTTCACTTCCAGTGCCAGCTCCAGAGGACAAGTTTTTTGAGGGGTGTTAGCTCACAAATAAACAAAGCTTTTAGTACTTCGGCAGAGTGACTGCGTACCCAACAAGAGTAGAGAATACAAGATGAGCGAAGTGAGACCAGAGAGGTGGAAAGACTCAGCCAGAGTCATGGAGCTAGGATTTCAACTTAGATCAGACCCTCCAGAGCTCATGTTTATAACCACCAGGCACCAGGCTTGGCAAGTAATATGAAGGTGGGGCAGCCCCCAGTGATGAATAAGTGGTCCTTTCCCCTCCAGTTACACAGATATTAAAAAGGAATTAGAAGAGCACAGCAATGTGAATGCACTTAGTGTCACTGAACTGCATACTTAAAAGTGGTTAAAATGGTAAATTTTATGTTATGTATATTTTACTATGCTAAATTTTTAAAAGGCATAATGGAAGGTGAGATGGAGTGGAAGACAGGCTTAGGCATCTCTTGGAAGTGACCAGTTGGAAAGCTTTGAATCTCAAGATAGAAGAATCACGATCAGGGACACATACCTGGGTGTCATCTACATTGTGGTTATAGCTAAAGAAAGAATGGCCAGGGTAAGAAAACAGAACGAGAAGAGGAGAAAGCCCAGGAAAGGAGGCTGAGGAAGTATCATCTGAAGATTAGAAGGAAAAATCAAGAGGGATGTTTCTACGAAAAGCCACAACAGGAGGAAAGGGTTTTTCAACAGAGTCAGGTGGTTTGGGGAGGTCAAGAAAGATGCAGACTAAGAGGCTTGGGCAGCCAGGAAGCCGTGGGTGACATTGAGAGAGCTGTGTGTGTGTGTGGGGGGGGGGGGGGGTGAGCCTGTAAGCAATTACAGAGACTTGAATGAGTGAGAGGTGGGGAAGGAACATCCTTGAGTACAAACCACTCCTTTCAGATGTTTGGATGTGAAAGATGAAGGTGGTGGGGGGAACAGGAAGGTGGTCTATGGGAAGCAGAGTCAAGTTGAAGGGTTGTTAGATCAGGTGAGACTTGAATGTTTCAGGGCCAAAGGGAATTAGGCATCAGGGAAGTGAGAACAAAGACACAGTCCAAAGGGAAGGTAAGTATTAGGTCTCAGATTAGACCAGAGGGCATCCAGATGAGCACTAGTGGCCAAGGTAGGCTTGGAAAGATGGGGAAATGAAGTAGGACAGAAGATGGAATGGGTAAAGATGAAGTCATTTTATTTGAAAGAGAGAGAAGTTGAGGGAGCGTATATTGGAAGCCTAGTTTTCCCAGCTGACGGAAGGGCCATTGGTTGGGACTGGTGGGGTGTGGGAGGGGACTTCAGAAAAATAGAAATGGTTTGTAAAGAAACTGTGAGAAATGGGAACAATTAAGACACGTTTCCCAGTCAGTAGTATGCATCAGAATCTCCTGGGTCACATTTGTCTGAATACATGTACAAAATTAAATATCTATGGGGTGAGGTAAGAGTTAGGGATGGATTTAGAACCATCGTACTAACTGGGCTTACTAGGAGTAGACAGAAGACTTATGACCAATTTACTTCCTCAGTGGCTTTTTTTTTTTTTTTTTTTTTTTTGTGGTACGCGGCCTCTCACTATTGTGGCCTCTCCCGCTGCGGGGCACAGGCTCCGGACGCGCAGGCTCAGCGGCCATGGCTCACGGGCCCAGCCGCTCCACGGCATGTGGGATCTTCCTGGACTGGGGCACGAACCCGTGTCCCCTGCATCGGCAGGCGGACTCTCAACCACTGCGCCACCAGGGAAGCCCCTTCCTCAGTGGCTTTTAACCGCCTGAGACCCATGATATACAGGGCTCCTGTTTACTCCGTGTTGAGGACTGTCAAACCAGGGATGGCCAAAAGTCAAAGGAGAGAAGAAATTCAGAATGCTGGACCCTGGGGATTTGTCCAGGGGGAAATGTAGCAGAATCTTCACTTTTTTTTTTTTTTTTTTCTGGCTGCCCCATTTGTGCAGCCCTTTCCATCTTTAGGGAATTCCCATATTACGAGCCATTGTGAGATTCAGAGCTACTTCCCATCATGCAAGCCAGGAAATGCCAGATATTTGTTTCCCAGGTCCTCAGAAGCTATGACATGGCATGCAATCTGGGCTTAGTTAGCCATGTACACTGGCCAGGGACCTTGAAGACATAGCATTAGAGAACTCTCTCAGGCTGGTTGCTCATCTTTGGTCCTGTCCATTGCTCAGGCCTCCTTCTCTAGCCTTCCCAGCTATTCTGCCAGCTACGTAATACACTTTTGATTCATGCCTTCTCTGCTCCTAGCAACTAGAATCAGTTTCTGCTGGTGACTAAGAACCCTAAGTGAAACAGGAAGGCACGTGAAGAGCAGAGAGAAAACATTTTCTCCTATTCCAATACTTCTCCCCTCAAAGCTCTAAATTTTAGCATTTTGAAATCATCTAACCCATTAAAAACACAGACAGTTATAACCCAAATTATGCCATTTCTTTCATAAACTTTTATTGTATAGCTATTCTATACTAGACATTAGGCTATGGCTTGGTATTACAAAGAATTCATAGTCTAGTGTTAATATTGGTGACTTTTTGCCCTCCACACATTTGAAATCTCAAAAGATCTAGTACAATGGGTGCATAATGTGTGTAACAAATCACTAGTTCTTGCTGGGACAGTAAACCGTGTTGCATAAGCATTACCCGTATTGTCTAATGGTTTTTCTGATAGATGCTGTATTGCACAGCATTATATCGAGAGAATACAGAATGCTAGATTTGCGAAATAGATGTTTTGGTAATAAAAACTACAGAATCTATTTTAGGGTGTGAGTCCTTTGAGAACCACAGATGATCACAGCCTACTCCCCTGTGGGGAAAACGGGAGCTCTGTAAACTGAGAGGGAAATGACTTGCCAAGACCCATTGAGTGAGTAAAAGTTAAAGTCTTGCTGAACAGAACCTAAGAGTGTGAAACTTCAGAGTAACCTGAAGCTTTCCATTAACAAAAGTAATTTTAAAAGAATGCCAGGTCCTCCAAAATGTTTGTATTTGTATCAGCTCTCTTTTGCCTAGGATCTTTTAGAATACATGGTCATTAAAAACATATGTGATGGCTGCCCAGGATCAAAAGGAGGGGAACAGTGCTTGGAGCCCTTTTGGCTCCTGTGGTTGTGAACAATTTGGGAAAGTTGATGGGATTTCAAGTATGTGATGTTTTTCTCAATGGGATTCATATGATAGATCCATAGAGAGAGTCCCCATGGTGCAAGAGAGTGAAAGAAGTTAGAAAACAGGGTGCCAGTGTGGGAAATAAACTAGGCTGGATGTCACTTAAGGTATAGATTGACTAAGCTCTCTACATAGAAGATTCAAAAAGAGCAA